CTGTTCGTATCCTATCTGATCTCCCTTCCTTGACCACAGACCCCAGACTGGTCCCCTTTGTGCCTAAACCAGAGAGCCTGGCATGAATGAGGCACTCTGTGAACTAAATTCGTTGACTAAATACTGGCCAGCTGTCAGGAAAAATAACTCAAGTGTCTTAGGCCAATTCCACGCTTCTTCCAGAAGTATCCATTATTTGTTGCTCTCTGCCTGCTTGGGTGCCCCAATCACTAACAACAATGAAATGCCAGACCAGCTAAGGAATTAAAGACACTGCTTGTAGCCTTAGGAATGGCCAAGAGGACCCATGAGCTCCCCGGAGTAGTACACTTCTGGAGAAACAGGTTTCTGGGCTCAGAATACATCATGAATCTCTGTTACTGGTGGAGGTCCTAACTTACTACTGAGCCAAGAAGCCAGGCTTATGTAGAATGTCACCCAGGGAGATGACATGTTGAAGGCCATAAGGAATAAACATTCAGAGACTGGTGACAAACACACTCTAGGATTGGTTCTCAGAGGTAATATGTCATGAGGAAAAGGCTCCAGAATGACAGTCTGAATCTAGGAAGCCCATCCTTAAGCCATCCCAGTTCTTGCTGTTAGTTCAACACAGCCAGCCCCTACTTTTCCCAGATGGCTCCTAGCTGGCTCAGAACTCCTTGTGCATTGTTTGATCTGCACTATGCCTGGGTCCAGGTCAGTGACCTCCACTCCCACAGCCTTTCTTCCTTGCCAGTTAGCTAGTCTTCCTGCCCTCGGTCCCCATTTAGAGAATCTGGTAACCATCTCTTCCAAGGGTGGAAGATCTGGGTGACACATTGCATCCAGCCATAAGTTCCAGCAGCCTCGTGGAGCTAGATACCCTCAAGCCATGCTGATATTTTTCTCAATGCAAAGAATTCTTGTTTTGGGGACTGTAATTCTTGGGTCACTGTGCCCCTGTCTACAAAAGGGCCCCAAGTGACATAGACTTCTAGCCAGGGACACAGATACTCAAACCCGAGGCCACACTGTTCCAGGACAAACAGAGTTTAGTCACCACTGAAGTGGAACCCGAAACAGAGAGGTCAAGAAGGAAGCTCAGAGATCCTGGGGCACTGGGGACTCAGGGCTCCATGAGCTGCAGAAAGAGGACACAGGCTAACCGGACTATGATGAAAACAGCTTCTTTGAAAGTAAGTCAGAAATGCTGAAAGTGGGGCTCCAGGGGACAGAGACAGTCAGGTCACTCAAGGTGACTCTCAGATCTTATGAAAGGGACCGAGGAATGAATGGAGGGGACAGAAGATCAAAGGCATCACTGATGAAGAGGTTTATCCCAAACACTACACCAGAATTGAGCCAAGTCTCTAGACCTACTTCCCGCTTCCAGGACACCAGTGGGGAAGAAGGACTTGGCTATGTATAGCCACCCCAGACAAACACCTTTGCATCCACAAGGAAGTGGCCAGGAAAAGAGACAGAGCTAGCAACTGAGGTAACTAGGAAAGCTGTCCAAACCAGACTTCGTGAAAGCAATGGGGAAAAGACATTTGCAGAGGCTGCGGAGATGCACACTTGTGTGCGGGTATGTGTGTGGGTATTCATGTAAACTTCAACAGAAAGTCTTCCCTTTTTATTATATTTTATTTCATGTTCATGTACACACACAGCCTCATGCCACAATGCCTGTGTGGAGGTCAGAAGACAATTTGACGGTTTCTGTTCTCTCCTTACTAGGCATGTAGATGGGTATTGTGGATCCCAGGAATCAATTTGAGAAGCAATTGCCCTTACCTTCTGATCCATCTTGTTGGTCCTCACATATTTTTGTTTGTTTGTTTTTTGAGACATGGTCTCTCACTGAACTTTTGCTGATTAGGTTGAGCTGGCTAGCCACCAAGCCCCAGGGGTCCTCCCAACTCCACATCCTCATTGCTGGAGGTAGAGGCTTGTACAGTCATGCCTGGTTCTTCTGTGTAGGTGCTGAGGATCCAAACTCAGGTCCTCGTGCCTGGGAGGTGAGCATTTTGCTCACTAATCTATCCCCCAGTCCAATCAAAAGGATATTTATGAGACAATCAATTTAAACACCATCTCAATATTTTGTGGTTAAGAAAATGGATTATTGGTGATATTTAAAGGTTTAATAATGTCTTACAAATTTTAAGGGGGGACTTGGGGTTTGTTTTGTGGTCTTGTTTTGTTCTTATAAAGAATCTTTAGCTTTTTTAGGTAACTCTGTAATATTAAACTGATCAGGCATCTGGCATTTGCTTCAAATCACAGAACTAAGTTGAAGCTACAGAAGAAATAGCACCTGTGCCCATCACTATTAATAATGGGTGACAATTAAATAACCATCCATTGTGTTCCCTCAACTCTTATCCAGTTCAAACTTTTACAGGAAAATTTTCATTTAAAAAGGAAGTGAGCTTGCTGTTAACAGACTTTTACACTGGCTCTTGAAGAGCTCCCAATACACCTTTACAGCCCAAGCACCAGGTTCCTCATCCAGAGCCTGAACAGTTCACGCTGGGACTCAGCCTGACACACACAGTGTGGCCACAGACGGGTCTCAACTTCTCTGTGCTTTGACTCCCTTGCAGGCATCACATAAATACCAGTTCTGCGTGCTGAGGACCAACCATCCTGAGACACAAACACTGAACCAACCATTGCTTGGCGTCATGAGTGTGGCTGGTGCTAAAGATGCCGTTAGGTTTGCTGTGGTGCAGAGGAGATGCACTCTTCTCTCCATGAATCCCTAGCTCCAGGAATGCCCATTCTTCCCTTTGAAGGCCTTCCTCCCTGTACACGCCTGCCCACCTCTTCCCGGCTACCCTGCTACCCTGCTCCCAGCCCCGTCTCCCGTCCCAGTTCCCTGGAGCATCAGTTAAAGCACTGCCATTCCCAGCCCTGTCCCTGCTCTGGCCCCCTGCCACCACCTCTCACAATGCCCACAGGGGGCCTCGGCCTTGGTAAGTCAGGAAACGGTGGGGTGGAGGCAAGGGAAGTGAGAACTCAGGACTTATGAATGCATAATGCTGGACATTTTGGAAATGGATGGGCCTGGTGCCAGTCCTTGCTGGGGTTCCCAGATTGTACTGGGCTTACAAAGAGGCCATTATTAAAGGCTCCACAAGTCTATGTAACAGGTTCAGAACCACAAACTGTATGACGTCAGAGGAATCGCAAGATGAATAGGCTTCCCAGCCATGTCCTCAGTGCCAAGAGCTTTGAGTCCCTAGAAGGAGGTATGTGGGAGGAAGGAGGGTATCCAGGGAGCCAGAAGGCAGTGAGTGCACAACTGTTCTACAGAAGAGGTTAGTGAGATGGCCCAAGACCTGTCCACACAGGACCAGATGAGGACCTTTTCAAAAGCCTGTAATACCTCTAAACAGTTATCACCCCCTTCCTCAGTGACTCAGCTCATCTGCCCTCCAGGTGTCTCCTGAGAGAGCACCACCCTCCCCATCTCTCTTTCCATAGTTACACACACACACACACACACACACACACACACACACACACACACGTGTGCACGTGCGCGCGCACACACACACAAACCTTCTTAGGGCCATTTCTTTCCTACTAGATAGGAGCAGTCGGCTGGGCTCATATCCTAACTGTGCAATGACCTCACTTGCTGGAATCCATATTCACCTTTCTAAAAAGTAAGAGATTGTAGCTAAAGAATGACCAAAATCCCCTTCCACTTGTTCTGCTATGTACCATAAGGAAGTATGATGCTGTCTTCTCCCCCAAAAACTATGAAGCATGTGGCTTGACTGGGTTCCACGTTTTCTTCTCTAGGCATGTTCCTAGTTAAGGTAAATCTCAATCACATATACACACATGCCCTGACACACACACACCAGGTTCTTTAGAGCAGTAATAATGCGAACTGTGAGCTCAGGAATATCCCACTTTCCCCATAGTATTGAAGGGCATGCATTTACATGTTGTTTGCATATATTTAAATGTAAATGAACACTCATTTATATGAACATACTTATATATTAGAATCAGCACAGTGTCTCTAGCTGTTGGTTCCAGACTAATACTCAAGAGCCCTAAAACCCACAAAATCTTATTAAATAGAGTGATAGTCTCCCACACTTTTAAGGCCATGGAAAGGAAATATTAGAATTTCAATTCATATTTATTTTTATTGCATTCTTTTAAATTTCCTACTTCTTATGAGTGTTTTATGTTCCTCAACCCACATGAGTATAACAGGATGCATGTGTCATATACAAATATGCCTGTAATGGGGATCCAAGCCCAAAAGGATTTGGCAGAGGGGGTGCAATGTCAAAAAAGTTTGAGCCTTCACTGTCAATCTCTACTGTAATTCTCCCAAAGCTGGAGACAATTACAAGGATTTAGTCCAACTACTGCCAAAGGACTGGGCAGGACCCCAGGCAATTGTCCTCCAAGGCAGCACTGGCCAATGGAACCTGAAGCCCCCTAGGGCTCATGGCATATGGTATCTACTTTTCCCCAGAGCAAGGCTCATTAAGCCATAAGAATATTGGCTCTCATCTAAGAAATCTATTTTCTTTTCCAGATCAGCTTATGTTGGACCTCGGGGTTTAGCTGCAGCACTACATAAAAAACAGAGCACTGGCCTGAGTCTGCTAAGATGAATTGGTTATTTAGTTAAGAAAACATGAGGTTGATCATCAATGAGACTAAAGAAAGGGATGGATTGATGAATGGATGGATGGGTGGATGGATGACAAATGGATGGATGGATGGATCAATTAATAAAAAGAAAGAGCAAACTGGCTTTCTAGAGAACTATTAAGTAAATGGCAAAACTCAATTCTGGAATCAGAAGAGGACCCAGAAATATCTGGAAGAGAACATTATGCTGTCTGTGGAGAGAAGACCATTATCTGGGGAGGGGCACATTTCATGGCAGCTAGCTCCATTTGAGAAGATACATTAGATTCTGACAGTGCTCTTGAGAAAGTGTGCCATCTGAGAGGACAAGGCACTGTGCTACTCACCTACACACTGGTTGCCTTCATCCATCTGGTACCCAAAGCGACAGACAAGAGGCCTTGAAATCGTGGGGTAGTTGGAAGCTGGTACTGGTGGCGCAGCTGCTGGGTATGGGCCTGAGTAGGGTGTAGAGTAGGGATTTGAGTAGGGCCCCCGATACACTGAGTTGGTTCGAGGGATGCACAAATACCCGCCATTCTGGTTGACACACATCATGTCCCCACGGCAAGCCTCAGGGATGGTCCGGCATTCATCAATATCTGCAAAGGCCACAGAAAGGACAAGTGTCAGCGTCCCCCCACTATACTGAGCATGTGCATAGTGAAGCAGGGAAGACTGATGGGTCTGATCTTCCAACAATTCGCCCGATTCATTGCAATCTGATGCTCTCCAACATCAGCTAAATTGACTCAAAGTGACCATGTTATCCAACATCAGCTCTCCCCACCCACAGAACCCTAGACTATTATTGACTTCATATTGTCCTTTAAAGAACACATTTGGACCCTGGGAAAAATGTGCTCTTTAACAGGAATATAGGAGCTGGAGAGATGGCTCAGTGGTTAAGAGCTCAAGCTGATCTTCCAGAAGTCATGACTTCAATTCCCAGCAACCACATGGTGGCTCACCACCATCTCTAGTGGAATCTGATGCCCTCTTCTGGCATAAAGGTATACATGCAGATAGCACACACTCATACATAAAATAAATCTTTCTTTAAAAAAGGAAACATATTTATTATATAGGAATATAGTAAATAAAACACCCTTGATCTACATAAAGAAAGCAATGGTTTAAAAAAAAGCAGACAAGTGTCTGTGTATATAAAAGCATGCCAGGTACTGTGAAAACATGAGAGCAGGCCTAAGAATTATTCCCATTTCTATTCAAAGTAATAGCTGGGCAAGAGAGAAAGAGCCTTTTACGCCCAGAAAGCCAAGGCTTGGCTCAGACCTATTACTTGCTGAGAAAGCAGAACATTGCTTTCAAGTCAGCTCACACAGTGCCAGCAAACAGGACCACATCTAGCCCTCCTGGAAATCAGCTCAAGCTGGAAGGAGAGTGGTTGTCTGTCTAGAAAAACCAGGCTTGTTAGGGTGGGGTCAATGGAGGCCCCACCTCTGGCTCCGGTAAGCAGCAGACCTGGCTTTGGGTGCTGCTGTCCCCCCAACCCCTGCTCTGGAGCCTGATCTGTGTGGGACCGAAGACCAGGGAGATGCCTGTATCCAGGCAGCTCGCCCACCATGTCATCTGAGAAATTCATGCCAACTCCCAGCTTGGGAATGTTGTGGTTCATAATGCAATGGTCTGTTCTCTAGTTAAAGTGATGTTCTAGAACAGAAGGCCTCTGCCCTCTTTGTCCTGTGGTGCATCCTTCAAGCAAAGTGCCTTACACTGTAAATTCAAGGGTGAGTCTGGGTCTCCCAAGGTTTAATTCATTCCTCCAAGACATCTATGCCCCCTTTTATTCTCAGTCGATGCAACTCAGGAAAGACAAATGGTTTGACCTAAATCAAATCTAATTAAAAGGCTGACCATTCCCCCAGTGTTGGGAGCCTGCCTTACCCTCTCCACATGCTCTGTTCTCTATCCCCAACATGCCATGCACGCCTGAGCTTCCTTTACATGCCTGTTCTTTGCCTGTGCTGTTCATTCCACTGTGGACTGAGTTTCTCAGGGGTCCTATTTATCCTTCAATACCCAGTTGAAACTGGCCCATCATCACTCCTCTGAGTCCAGGCATAAGTCATCTCTCTCATCTCTGCCTCCCCTCAGCAATGACATTACTCCACCAGCTTGTCACAACATTCACTGTGTCTAAGTTTCTCTCCACTAGATGGCATGTGAGAGAATACCCTTCTTCAAAGTATTCCTCATTCCTGGGACCTGGGAATCCATTAGGTCACAGGGTTAATTCAATTCAGGCCACTATTCATCAACTGGCCTTGAGATGGGAGCATTCACCCTAGATGACATACAGGGCACCCAGTGTGATTGTGTGAGTGGTTAAAAGGAAAAGGGGCAGGAGACATGGTCAGAGATGCTTCAGTCAAAGAAGGGACCCATATGTATAAAAGGCACTTGAATGCTGAGGGTGGGGGAACAGACTACCAACCAAGGATTAACCGCAGGTTCTGGAGTCTGGGAAGGGCCTCATCAGACAACCAGCAAGGATGGAGGACCTGAAACCTACAAGTTCAGGAGGGTGGATCCCACCAACTCTCCCATGAGCAAAAAGATGCTCTCTCCCCTTGAGTCCCAGAGAAACACAGCCCCGCCAATACTTTGATATTAGCATGGTAGACAGATGTTGGGCCTCTGACCTAGAGGACTCTGGGATCTGAAATGGGCACCATTTAATGCTTATGGGAACCATGAGGGGACAGCGCTGGGGAACAGATCCAACAGAATTGCTTGTTGAAGACGGATCAGTTCTTAGACCCTGAATGGCGCCCAGCCCAAAGAACATAAGCAGCAAGGATGTCACTGGCTCAGCCATTCCATCACCATGTTCCTCCATGGAGAAGGCAAATAAAGATTCGACAACACTGAGCTACAGCAGCAGCAGAAACACCATTGCAATTGGGCCTTCGCCAGATGTCCCCACTGAACAAGGGACCGTCAGTATCACATACCTAAACACCGCCCTGTCTGTCGGTCCAGGTCAAAGCCATTTGTGCACTGCTGCTGTAGAGAATGAGAAAGAAGAAACAGGCCAGGTCACTCGACGTGCATTCTTGGTGGCTATAAAAACACCGTGGAGCATCTGGGAAGTGGAGTAAAGGGAAAGGCACACGGAACACCCACACGTGGGGTGGGTCCCTATTTGGAAATGTTTTCTTACAATCATTGCACACTTAGTGTTTTGTCTTTTTTTTTTTTACCCCTATAGCAGCCCCTCATGAGCCCTGCTTTCAGCACCTGTAGAGTTTGCCATGCCCACGTGACGAGGAGCAGTAATGCAATGCGCCCAGTACTGCCCACCTCTCCTTCACAGGACCCCCCCCAAATAAACTCTCTGCCCCTATGAAACTCTCCAAGAGTCTCAGTCGTATTCACAAAATAAAAGCTACCTAGCGGATGTGGTCCATTTTCGAAGCAAAGATGATTGGGACATTCCTTTAGCCAGCAGCAACACAAAGGACACATTTTGTCAATTGCAGAGAGTTGTGATTTTACATGTAACCTGAGCTATAGCTGTACATACAATTTTTCAGTTTACTTTTGTTTCATTTTCAAGACAAAAATTTCATTGTGTAATCCAAGCTGGCCTTGAACTCATAGTCCTCCTGCCTCTGCTTCCCAAGTGCTGTGAATGTGTGTTTTGGGCTGTGGGCTGAGCCATTTTTCTAGTCTTGCCTATAAACTTTTAAAAAAGGTGAATTGGGAAACAATTTAAGGGCCCCTTGCAGGGGCCTGGAGTCTGGTATAGGAATGAGTCCAGGGTCTAGGATCATGGTACCCTGTGCCTAGGCTTGCTTCCAGCCTAGCTTCCCTGGGCTGTGGGGTGAATTGTGGAGGTGCTGAGCTTGGCCTATACTACATCTGAGGGTTCCAGGCCTTTGAACCTGAGGCAAAGCCCTGAAGACCAAGTTCCAGCCCAGCGCTCCAATTCAGTGCCAGGGTAGAATGGGCTCAAGCCACTGGTCTAGTTTGTTTCTATTGCTCACTGGGGCCCGCCCTCTCTTTATCCCTTCCCTCTGCCTCAGTTTCTCTGTATAAAAATAGGGTACTGCTATTTGCTTTTCAGTGGTTACAAAGAGGAAATACATTACTATATATGACTAGACTAATTAACACGATCTTGTGACCACTGTCTTCTTCAGGCCTAGATGTTCTTATCTGTAACCCTTGGGCCTAGATTAGAAATCATCAAGGTCCCTCTAGGATCTAGAATTCTATGCTATTCTTCTCAAGCCCTTCCTATCTCCAATGGCCTGAGTATGTCTAATGGCCTTTGAATGCACTTCATAATTCTTCCCCTCACCTCACCCCAACGTATTTTTTCAGTGCTAGGCATCAAACCCTGGGCACACTGGGCAGGTGCTCTGCCTCCCCCAACGCCCCCCCCCCGCAGCACCTCAGCCTTACTCAGAGATGGGATTGCCTTTATTTTTTCTCCACACTAGGGCCACTCTGCACCATCTAGAGTCCTGGTTTTCAGCCTTCCTAACACTGCTACCCTTCAATACAGTTCTTACTGTGGTGACCCTCATAGAATTATTTTTGTTGCTACTTCGTAACTGTAATTTTGCTACTGTTATGCATTGTAATATAAAGATCTGTGTTTTCCTGTGGTCTTGGGTGACCCCAGTGACAAAGTCTTTCAATAGCCCCTCCAAAAAGGGTTGTGACCCACAGGTTGACAACTGCTGATCTAGGAACCTCTCCCACATTGCTTAGGACTGACGCACTGGCCCCTGTGGCTTTAGAAATGAGACATTGCAGCTTCTCTCAGGCCCGGACCTTAAGCCCTACCTTATTGTCCCTCTCACACTCCTCGCAGGAGGAGGGATAGACCCTACTCCAGGTAGCTGAATTCCCCAACCCCACACACTGTACCCCGGGGTGCTTAGGTAACCTCCACTCCCTCCCTCCTTTCCTTCTTCACTGGGCATTGCATGGGTAGAGATGCATGCTAGTCGACCCCTGAGGGACCTTTGTGGCATCCCAGGGGCACCCTGACAAAAACAAACAAAAAACCCATGCGCACTGGACTAGCATTTAAGCTAAAGGGAATCTCCCTGAGGAGCACAAACGAGACAAGCAAGATCTGATTCATACAGTCTTGAGTTTAGAGCCAGGACAGTGAGATCCAATTCCAGCGTTGCCATTTGAAGCCTACATCACCTGGGCCAACCTCGTGCTCCCAGTGCCTGGGCTGTGATCGGTATATAATGTTGAGGGTAGTGAGTGACCACAGAGTGCCTTCTGAGCCTCTGACCCTGGAATTCTAAAATGTGTGACTGGACCCCCTCACCCTAGCCTTGCAGTGTGCTCCTAGACAACTTGAAACCTTACCTGTGCATCCCCAAGGTGTGGAAGCCAGAGTGCCAAGATGGCAACTGTGAGTATCCTGTGGAAAGAAAAAACCCTGAGAGTGAGTGCCAAGGGATGCTCATACCCAGGAAGCCCAGGCATTTCATGGTGACTTTACCATGTGTTTGCAAATGGATAGGGTACACTCAGCAGAGACCAAGGGGGCTTCCAGACCCCTAATCACTCCACAAGAGCCGGCCTCTTGTGTTGGCTTTGCGTATTGGAATAGTGAGTTAGGTCATATGCTTGAATACAAGAGTTTGCTACTTAGGAACAAAACACCAAAGACCCACGGCTGTGGCATCAGCCAGTTGTCTTGATCTTTCATCATCCTGCATGGAATCTGCCTGAGTTAATCATTATCCAGACATGACCATAGAGCCAAGAGCCACTGTGTCCTTAACCATGGAAGCTAAACAGTGAGGTGCTTTGGCTTCACAGGAAGTCACTTAACTAGAACTGGGAGCCCTCAGTCCACACGTGTGAGGACCCAGGGTTGAGTGGCCCAAGAACCCAGGGTCCACCCTAGCATGTAGCTTTCAAAAACTACTGTCCCAGGGAGGAAAAGACTGGGAAACCCACACAACCCCCAGAAGAAGAAAGGCAGTGGGAAGCAGCAGGAAATGCCAGGACACCATGGCTCAGCCAACATGGCCACCCACAAGCCAATAGACAGCTCTGCCTGTGGGTAATTTCGTTCTTTGCTGAGGCTATGCCTTTGTCTGGTGAAACTGTGGTCACCAGTATGCTTTAAAACTTCAAAGTTCATGCCACTCACACCCATTGAGATGGCTGTTTGTATATCATGCACATACCTCTCTGTGTGTGTGTGTATGTGTGTGTGTGTGTTGGCATATGGGGGTGCATTGTGTAAGTGCATTTGCACATGTGTGTGTGTATTCATATAGAGGCCAGAAGCTGGCATCTGGTACCTCCTCAGTCACTCTTTACCTTTCATACTGAAGCAGGGTCTCTCACTTGCACCCAGAGCAAGCAAACACTCATACACATAAGATAATATTTTTCATCTTTAAAAAAAAAAATCACAGGACAGAAAACAGCAAGCACAGGAGGATGTGGAGGGATCACAGTTCTTGTGCATTGCAGATGGGAATATAAAACTGGTGATCCAGCAGGCTCAGAATATACGCCCAGGAGAACTGAGTCCTGGACCAGACAGACACGTGTACACTTGTTCACAGCAGCATTTTGTACAATGACCAAAGGATGGATGCAATGCAAACATCCATGCAGGAATAGCTAAACAAAATGTAAACACACACACACACACACACATTATTCAGACTTAAACTAAGTGGGACAGGATACAATATGGAAAGCTGGGCACACTGCTGTATGCCTGTATTCCTAGCTGCTCCAGAAGGTCAAAGTGAGAAGGTCACTGAAGCCCAAGAGTTCAAGGCTAACCTGAGCAATATAGTGAAATCCTATTTTTAAAAAGAAATTAAACAGTGCAAAATGCAGATGAGATTGCTCAGTAGGCAAGGGAGCTTGCCATCAAACCTGAAGAACTGATGAACAGGACCCACATAGCAGATGAATAAGTCTTGAAAGTTATCCTTTGACTGTCACACATGCACCATAACACATGCTCCAGACAGACAGACAGACTAAAGAAAAAGTGCAACAACAGGAATGAACCATGAGGACATCATGCTGTGAAGTAAGTGACTCACACAAAACCATGTAGAATTCAACTTACATCATGTCCCCAGAGATTTTAGATTTGGAAACAGAAAGCAAAATGGTTGCTCCCAGGGCTGTGAAAGTGTTTAAAAGGTAGAGTTTCTTTCATATTTTTCCCTTCCTTATTCTGTTTTGTGGCTTGAGGTGCTGTTTTGTTTTCGAAACAAGGTCTTCCTCTGTAGCCCAGGCTGACCTGAAACTCACAACATGGCCCAGGTTGTCCTCAAATTTGTGGCAGTTGTACCTCAGCTCCCTGCCACAAGTCACAAGCCACTACAGCCAGCTTTTTGGTTTTGTTTTTTGTTTTTTTGTTTTTTTTGTTTTGTTTTGTTTTTTTTAAAGACAGGGTCTCAAATGTAGCCCAGGCTATGCAGCCAAAGGTAGAAACTCCTGATTCTTCTACCTCTACCTCCCAGATGCTGGGGCAGATGTGCACCACCACATAGGACAGGCTACAAGAGCTGCTTTACAGGATAAAGAGCCATGGAATCATCATATAGACAAGTGAGCGTATGTAGCGCAATACAAAAGGTATACAGGTGCAGGGGCTGAATCGGTTACTAGTGTTGTTCGGTTTGCTAGCATTTATCTGACAACTACTGTTTGAACATAGATACTGGGCAAGAGCTACAGAGCTGTGGCCTCATTGCCGACCACCTGAGCTGGCTACTTTGCATCATGGGCCAGGATGAGAATGCTAGAAAAACCCAATGGGTGCTCAGAGTCAGGCTGGGGGGGAGGGGGACAGGAAAGTCAGGGGAGGCATCCTAGAGGAGGTGATCTTGGATGTTTGGAAGCATGGCTATGAACTTGAAGACCTGGTTGGCGTCTAAGGCTTGTTATGCGACCCTACACCATGGCTCTCTAGCCCCCCGCCTTCTCAGAATTAGTGCTCAGGAGATTACAAACTCATTCACATCCCTGTCACACGGCTCGGGACCCAGAGTTAAAGTGGCACCCAGATAAAATTGAGCCTGATGCACTGGAAGATGCAAACCCATTCCCTTCATACAGTCCCAGATTCAATCCTGAGTAGACAAGTTTTTGTTTCGTCTAACAGTCTATGTGAGCCAGGTTCTCCAACACTCGAGACAGCTCTGACCTTATAAAGTGCAGAGCCAAATCCTGGGGCTTTTTGATATTTGCAAGAGCCAGACTTTATATCTGGAAGGAATGAGAGAACAATAACAAATTTATTTTCCAGTCTGTATATTATGAATTTCAATGTTTTCCTGTTTCTTCACATCAAGTTTCCTTTCAGGTGGTTATAAAATCCTGTCTCGTTTATGTTGGAGACAGAACAGCCTAACTATATGCAGTGGAGTTCAAGAGCGACTGGAAAAGGCATGCTAATCCTACCGGCTTTCCCCCTACCCCACTCACCATTCCTCTTGGCTAGAGCCAGCCCAGGGCCAGCCAGCCCCAAGCCCAGCCTCTTGGAAGAACTATGGCTGGGTCCTGGGGGCCAAATAAGCTCCAGGCTAATGGAAAGGCGTTCCAGAAGGAAATAATACCCAGTTCTGCTGCTCCCACATCAAGAATGGCTGTAGCTTGTCATGAAAACCTTTAAAACTCCAAAAATGAAGCATAATTAATACCGGAGAGAGAATCTGTGTCTCAAAGCTTTTCTTTTGAATCTGGGTCGGCCATCTCCCCTCCCCGCCAAAAAAGGAAAGTGAATGAAGACAGACCCTCCGACTCTCAGAACTGTGTGTCATTGACAGACATTGCTGGTCTGGACGCAGGATGACAACATTGCTATGGCTTACCATAATACGGCTCAGCTTGTATTAGCATGCATGCACCCCTCCCACATGCAAACACACACAGAGAAAGTGTGTAGATCTGTGCAGGGCAGCTATGTTTTCAAGAGACGCTGGAGAAAGGCAGAACAGATGTCATCCTTAAAGTTCCTCAAGGCTCAAGGATTACTTGACTGCAATTGCAATTTCCGCAAAGAACAGCAAACATTTGCTTACATGCGTCTCTGTCTGCAGTGTCCACTGTTCATTGGCTCGAAACTTCTGGGTCCCATGCCCTCTGTGAGTCGCATGCATAGAGCAAATGCAGCCAGGAGTGTTCTGAGACTCCCTGGGCTTCTCTCTCAGCCTTCGCAGCAAAGCGATTGCTGGTGCTGTAGCCAGCGCTTTCCCAAATTTAAAAAATATGTAGTGTGATATTTTGTAAAGTGCGCAAAAAGTTGCTGCCTTTTCCAAAAAAGAAAGGGGAATGACACAGGGGGGTTGTCTGCAGCCCTCTCTCGAGATGCTGGCTCCGGACACTGTTAGAAAAATCCCCACTCCCAAACGAAGGCTTCGAGATGGAACCTTGAGCGAGCTGCGCAGCTTTTTGTAATTAACAGTGTCATTGCATCACTAGCTAAACTCTTTTCCAGTGCCCTGACACGGGCGGAATCTCAGCCATAGCCATTTTCCACCCATCAGGTCTGGAGTTAGGTTTCCCGAGCCTGCAAAAAGACTAGTCCCTGGGGCCTCCGGACCTACCTTTTTAATCCTGGCATGACCAAGATGCGCGGGAGGAGAGGCGAAGCGAGGAAGGCAGACTGCGGTGGGACCCCAGCGGCTTGGTTTTCCGGAGGGGCCGAGCGGGCTGTGCGGAACAGTGCCGGGTGCTGGGAGCCACTGCAGAGCCCTCGCCGCCGGCACCTGGTTTCGCTTAACCCCCTTCAGTAATTCAGCATTAAACCAATTGGAGGAGGAATGTTAAAAATGAACACTTCATTTTCTAAGTATGTTAAACAATGCAAATGGGGCCTCGGTCTGGACACAGCTGGTTCAGATTACAGCGCTCACCAACTGGCTAGACTCCTCACAACAATCTTGGGGCGTTTGCCAGGGCCAAGTGCTCGGCACTGGGAGGGGAGCCCAGCAGAGCGCAGTACTGGGGGGCGCCCGGCCTCCCCTGGGCGGAGCAGGGCGTGCGCCATGGGGAGTGTCATCAGGCCCTGTAGAAGCATAGATTTGAACTCACTACTAAGGGCTGGGACGTGCACGATGCTCCCAAGCAAGGATGTGGGGTAGAAGCAGAGAAGGGAGGCTGTATGAGAGCAGAACCTCAATGGCAACATCTCTCCTAGGCCGCCTTCACCTCGGTCTCCTTGACTTTTTCTTGCATTGATTTGTTAGTGTCTCTGGCCTTTAATGTAAATAAGAATGGTAGGCTACACATGGGCCCTGGAAGCCTCCTTTTCTCTCTTCTCTCCTCTTCTCCCGGCTTCTTCTCTCTTTTCTTCTACCTTCCCTCCTTGTTGTCTAGCACCAGAACCCGCTCTATCAAGTGCAAAAGTACCAAAGACACTATTCTCCAAAAGGTATGGCCAGGTCGCGCCACTGTGAGCCTTCCTTGCCTGCATCTTTTGGGCCCCATCGACTGTCCGACCTACAGTACCACACCAAAGAGGTCCCCTCTCCTTACCCCAGCTCCGTGCTCCAGGAACTAGCTGTTTCCTTGGAGATGGGGATAAGAGAGGTTGAGTGACTTCTCCACTGCCACACAGCTATCAGAGATGCCAGCGAGCCTCCCAGGTCCCCATCTCTATTTAGCATCTCCTAAGGACACTGTTTTAAGGAAATGGAATCCCATTCTAAAACCTCATTAGGCTAAACAAGAGCAGCTGTTAAGGCTATTGAAACTCAGTATCCAACTGGACTGATCTATTTACTCTGTGTGTGTGTGTGTGTGTGTGTGTGTGTGTGTGTGTGTACACGTGTGTGTGTGTGTGTGTGTGTACACGTGCGCGTGCGTAACGTAACATCTAAGAATAAACTACTTTTAGGTACATTTCTTTCACAGGGTTGTGCATACTTCCCGTTGTGCTAATAGCTAGAATTATAAACAACCCTAAGGTCTACCAGTATTGCACTAGGGAGCTAAATAAAGAGAATTCCAGGATTGAGAAATAAATGAGAGTAATTCATCAAAATAGCTAGACAGCTAAGTGTGCTCACTGGCCAGTTCCATCTATGTAAAATCCTAAGCCAGGCAGTGGCTGGGAGGGGACAAGGGAAACCCCTCAGGCGCTCCTGGTGGTAGCTTCTGAACAAGGTGCAGATTCAGGCTTCATGAAGCCTGAAAAAAGCTCAAGAGACTCCTTGTGCACTAATATTGAAATATTTCCAATATATTTTATATCTCAAGTAGTAGAGTGTTGGCAATCACATAGGTCAATCTAGAGGATGATTATTAAAAAGTGTGATTATAGGGGCTGGTGAGATGGCTTAGCAGTTAAGAGCTCTGGCAGTCTTGCGGAGGACCTGGGTTCAAGTCCGCCAATAAGTTCAGTTCCAGCGGATCTAGTACCCTCTTCTGACCTCCAGGGACACTGTGTGCGTTGTGTACAGACATACTTGCAGGCAAAACACCCATACACACACCATAGAACTTTTTTAAAAATATAAATAAATAAATAAGTGTAATCTAAAACGGTGTAAAAGTGTGATTATGGAAAGAAAAGGTCAAGGAGTCCAAAAGCATGAAAGTAAGTGGTAGCACCATGTGTGAACGGTGCCACATTAGTGTTGCTAATCTCTCACTGCACATAATTTATCAGTGAACAGTGTCGAGGGTACACAAAGACTGGAAAAAACATGGTGTATAAGGGGTCAGCACTGACTTTGGTTTCAAGCCTCCAGTTTTTTTAATTTAAGTATTTACTTTACATCCTGACAAAATCACCCACCCCCATTTCCTCTCCCTACCTCCTCCTGCCCCTTCCAATCCTATTTCTGCATAGAAGGGGGCAGGCCTCCTATGGGTACCAACAAACGCCCATAGGGCTTCACTTTAACAAGTGGGTGCTTGAACGTGCCAGATAAGAGCTTTACCAGTGAGCTACGTCTCCAGCCTGCATCCTGGGTTCTCTGAACTGGTCAACAAGCATCACATGACCCAGAGGCAACCTTGTCTATCTTCTCCTCGGGCTACCATCTGGTTCCGACTGGAGCTGCACCAATGAACACCAAGTGTCCTACACTGATGGCCCTTCTCTGTCTGCTGTTCTTAACTATAGAGTGTTTTACATTTTAATCTGTTATTCAAACTCTTTTTCTTTACAGATTCTGTTACCAAAAGTATTAAGTGTGACCCCCCCCCAGGTTCGACAGCCAAACAATACAGAAGGTGACTTCCTTGACATGGCCACCTCCCTGTGGTGAAATATTAGTTGAAGATGTGTCACATTCATTTATGATGTGGAATATTTGTTTAATGATGCAAAGATATGTTGCATTCTTTTATGTTGCATTTGTTTAACTATGTGAAACTGTGTTGCTTTGCCTGTCTAAAACACCTGATTGATCTAATAAAGAGCTGAACAGCCAATAGCTAGGCAGGAGAGAGAAATGGGCAGGGCTGCCAGACAGAGGGAATAAATAGGAGAGGAGAGGAATGTGAGGAGCGTAAACAGAAGGAGGAGAAGAGGATACCCTGGGCCAGTCACCCAGTCACCCAGTCACCCAGTCACACAGTCACACAGTCACCCAGTCACCCAGTCACACAGTCACCCAGCCACACAGTCACCCAGCCACACAGTCACACAGTCACCCAGTCACACAGTCACCCAGCCACACAGCCACCCAGCCACCCAGTCACCCAGTCACCCAGCCACCCAGTCACCCAGTCACCCAGCCACACAGTCACCCAGTCACCCAGTCACACAGTCACCCAGTCACCCAGCCACACAGCCCGCCACAGCATAAGAACGAAAGAAAAGTATATAGAAGAGAGAAAGGCAAAAGCCCAGAGGCAAATGGTGGATGGGACAATTTTAGTTTGAAAAGCTGACTAGAAACAAGCCAAGCCAAGGCCAGACATTCATAACTAAGAATAAGTCTCCATGTGTTTACCTGGGAGCTGGATGATGGGCCCCTAAAAGAGAAGAAGTAACTACAGCTCCCCATAAAGCTGTTGGAAGGGCAGGCTCTGGAGCGGAGTTCTCTGTCAATGGCCCCTTCTTTTTTCCATGGCTTAGAGCTGCTGCTGAAGATGCCTTCACCTCACCTCACTGCTCAGTTGCTCAGGGGCGTCTCCCTGTGTGTAGCATCCTTCACAATCCTGACTCCCCTCTGCAGTCCACATGCCAGCATTGCACTTCCAAAACCTGGTCATCTGGGCCACAGACTGAGAGATTCAGTCAAACATCTGATAACATAAAGCACATGAGCTCCGCGCTTCCTGGTCACCCAATCTATTTTAAACAATGAAAAGAGGGTGTGGGTGTAGCAGCTCACACCTCCAACCCCAGCAAGAGAAGGCTAAGCAGGAGGACCACTGGGAGTTGGAGACAAGCCTGGGCTAGTTAGGAGGTCCAAGCCATCTTGGGCTACAGAGTGAAAATGTGTTTGAAATACCACCTCCTGCCCTCCAGAGGGGGAGGAGAAGACACAGAGAGAGAGACAGAGACAGAGAGACAGAGGCAGGCAGAGACAGAGAGAGGAGGAAACGAGGTCCTGTGATGTGAACATCTTAGTGGCCCTTGCTAGCCTCTCAGATCACTCCTTAACTTTGTGTTTCACTTTTTCACTAGCAAAGTAGGGACCCCACACATTCTCACCCCCTGCCATCAGAATCCTTAATATAAAACTGTCTCCTAAACAGAAGAGCTTGCCATCTGCAGAAGGGGCCCTCCCTGTCCTGTCCTGTCCTGTCCTGACCTGACCTGACCTGTCCTATCCAATTTGTTCACCATGGTGAGGCTACAAATGATGTGGCAAATAGGGGAAACTCAGTTACACGTTTGATGGTATAGATCCCTATTAAAATGGTATAGAGACCATAGAAAATGAATTCCATCAAAATGCCTTCCTAGGAGTGTGGAAAGGGAGTTTACTGTCTATTTAGTCTCTGCTTCCTCTTCTCTGGTCTCCACAATTGCTTGAAAGTGAAGTTTCACTTTGCAGATGAAGAAACAAACCATTGGGTGGGGGTGTAGAGCAATGGCAGGATGCTGGTGTAGGGGCTCCTGGGTTCCATCCCAGGAGGAGGAGGGAGGGATGGACAGAAAGAAAGAGGGAGGGAGGGAAGAGAGGAGGGAGGGGGGGAGGGAGGAAGGGAGGGAGAGAGGGGGAGGGAAGAAGAGAGGGGGAGGAAGGGAGGGAGAGAGGGGGAGGGAAGAAGGGAATGAAGGAGGGAGGGGAGGCAGGGAGGGAAGGGAGGAGGGAGGGGTAGAGAGGGAGAGAAGGAGGGAGGGAGGGAGGGACAGAGGGAGGTAAAGAGGAAGAGAGGGGGAGGGAAAAAAGGAAGGAAGAAGGGAGGGGAGGGAGGGGAGGGAGGGGAGGGAGGAGGGAGGGGAGGGAGGGGAGGGAGGAGGGAGGGGAGAGAGGGGAGGGAGGAGGGAAGGGAGGAGGGAGAGTAGAAGGTGTGCACCTGAGCAGTGCGGTCTCACAGATACAGAGCACAAACTGCAGCCACTGCCCTGTTGGATCTAGAGCTCTTCCTCCCCCAGGCTGACCAAGTGTGGCTCTCTCCCAGATAGCTCACTACTTCTCGAAGCTGGCTCAGCTGGTAAAAGCGCCTGCTGTCAAGACCGGTGACCAGATTTGGTTCCCAGGCGCATATGGTAGGAGAGATGGGACTCCTCCTCAAACTGTCCTCTGACCTCCAAACAGTGGTCTGGGTTTTCCCACATAGATGCACACAAGTTACTGAACTAATTAATGGAAAGAGTGGGCAGAAAATAGGTCTGTAACAGCTCTTTGTCCCAAAGCTGTTTCTTGGAAAAGCAAGTTGTGTGCAGGGAAACGTTTCATCTCTTTCAAAGGCTAGCTACTTAGTGGTGTGACAGGCTACTGAGTAGGGTACAAATTCCTAGGCTGTGCTTTCAAGACACACATGCCAGAGACTACGGCTGCGTCAAATTA